TAAAGTCCATTTCTCATCTTCTAGGTATACACTGACAAATGAAAACTGGGATTTTAGTAAATAAAAGCATTAAACTGGGTTTAACAGCCTCCCTTACTCAGCCTAAAGAGCTCTACATTTGCATTCACTCACTGGTCCTCCGTCTCCCAATCCAGTAACAGCTTTTTCTTCTCTAATCTTACTCTTAAAAATTGCTTTTTATATTAGACTAGACTTGATGGTAATAAGCTTCTTCGGGATAATCCGTGACCCAGTGGCTGGAACCCAGGAAAACCACAGATGCACAATTCCAGTGAACTGAAAAGGGACATGCTTTTGTGGGAAAACAAGCAAAACAGCTAGTGGGGGAAGAAGCAGGTATTTCAAATGTAAGGGTCACACCTAAAACACCCCCTTTTCCATTGCCCCACAAGATGTGCCAGAAGTCTTCTGAGAATAAAGGCCAGCCTGACCCAAACTTGAAAGACAACTCTCCAGTTTCTAACTCTGGGCAGACCTGGTCTGGTTAAAGCCCTCCTGTGGGTGTGGACTTAGCTTAGGCCTAATCATTGTGATTCAAAGCGCTGGCTAGGAGACCGAATATCACCCACATGGCCTCCAAGAGCAGATGGGTCTATTCTGAATGTCCACCTTGGTTTTAGCTGACTGTTGACACCATGGATGGTACAGTCACTTAGTGAGTACATTACCCTCCAGTACCCAAAAACCAGACAGGGAAAACAAAACAAACAGATAAAAAACAGGCAGCAAGGCCAGATATTGGATCATCAACAATTGATCTTTGGGATGATCCACGAATCTCATAAAAACAGCAAAGACTTTAATTCTGCAAAATAGTTTTACCTATGTCTATCCTCACACTTCACTGGTTGTGAAGCATTTTCTGTTTCCCTACCATGTGCCCATCACCATAAAAACTACAAGAGTCTTGATCACTACAAAGATACAGGAGATTAACATTTTAGATCAGGGAATCATTTCATTCAGCGAAAGTCAGGCATTTATAAACAGTTCTCTTTTTCCCATGAAAGCATCCTACTGGAACAAGTAGAGGGTATTTGGGGCACAGGATTGCTATATTTACAAAAGACCAGATTTTTATCAAGCTCTAATGCAAAGCATAGTAGAGGCTAGTCTACCGTTCTGCCCTGATCTTGAGAACAGAGGACACAATAAGGAGCACAGAAGAACAAGCATTTCATAGCCACAGACACATTCCACCCAAGTATAGTAACCAATCCTGTTCTTTACACATTTATGATTTATTTCTAAATTTGGCAAAGGAAGCCTAGTTGTCCCAAAGAATCATTACTTTTACCCTAACCCAAACCAAAAATATCTGCATGCATTTTGTATTTTAAATCATCATTCCTTGGCACAATTCCTTATCTGAAAAACACACAAAAGCTCAAAGACAAAAACTTGCGCAGAGTTAAGTATTCAGAAAGAGAAAGCCCTTTTTGACATTGTTAGAGACATTCTCATCTCATAAAGGCTGTGTCTACTTTAGCGCTTCCACAAAATGTGGTGTTAAGAGTTCTTAAGTCTTTAAGACAAAAAAAAAAAAGCTGCTTAGAAAAAGAAAGGAGAGAAAAACCAGTTTTACTAAGGGAGGGAAAATTACATTCTTTAGGAAGACGGCAAGAAAAAATAAAATATAAAATTATCTTTGAAGTCCTGGAACCAATAGCTTATAGGCCACAAGATGCCCAAAACATTTGGTATCTGTCAAAATAGTGTAATTCTTCATGAGTTGTTAAAGGGCTACCTGACAAAAACATGATCTGAGGATTACTAGACTGACTGGAAGTAACTTTTTTGGGGGGGGGGGAAATGCTACTCCAGTGGGCGTTAGATTCAAGAAGACACATCACACAGTGCATGCAGGTGTCCAAGCATATTCCTACTACCTGGGGTTTAAGGTGCTACGCAGGCAAGTGAAGGTTACTTCCCCGTCACCCACCTCAGGAGGGAGATGATTTAAAAGGAGCTTACCAAAAAAATTGCCAGCCCTAGCTGGTTAGGCTCAGAGGTTAGAGCGTCGGCCATGGACCAATGAGTCACGGGTTTGATTCCGGTCAAGGGCACGTACCTCAGTTGCAGTTTGTCCCTGGTCGGGTCATGCAGGATGCAACCAATCAATGTGTCTCTCTCACATTGATGTTTCTCTTTCTTTCTCCCTCCCCCTACTCTCCCTAAAAATCAATGGGAAAAATGCCCTTGAGTCCAGCGGTGTAGCTCACTGGTTGAATGTCGACCCATGCACCAAGAGGTCGCTAGTTCCATTCCCTGTCAGGACACATGCCTAGGTCGTGGGCCTGATCCCCGGTGGGGGGGCATGCAAGAGGCGGCCAATTGATGCTCTCTCTCATCAATGTTTTCTCTCTCTCTCTCCTTTCCTCTCTAAAATCAATCCATCAATAAAAATATATATTTTTAAATACCCCTGGGAGAGGCTAAAAAAATTAATTAAATAAATATATATATGGAACTAAACATAAAAGAAGCAATAAGGAGAGAATACTGACTCTACCTGATTCTCACGACTATTCAAATACCCTCTTATTCCATTAAACACACACACACACACACCAACACCACCATAAAATAAGTTTCAATTTGTATAATAGAAAATTTCAGGTAAAGTGATGGTCTGGAAAAAATGAGAAACCAAAGTGGTTGGCTTTGAGCTTCACACTTAATGGACATGTTGAAATGAGTGACAAAGGCCTATTCTGTCCAGAAATCCCCCGCTTTATTTTTAAGCCTGGAAACTGGTTAGTCATATCTATACTGACACTTCCTGTCCAGGGGCACGAAGAAGGCAACAAACTGCCAAGTTTAGTAGCTGCCTACATTGAGTCAATTGAGTCATTCATGGACTGAAAAACAGCATCGAACACTGAAGAAAAAAATCTGGCTAACTAAAGATATACAATGAAAACAGGTTTGACTATTTCACAGAACAGGGACAGAGGAAGCCATGGAGGGGAAAGAGCAAAGGGCAGGCAACACTGCTTTAGGAGGCAACTTGCTGCTGCTACGTTCTGTGATCTTCCCGCACACCCTGCCAAGCAGCATAGCTCTCCCCTCCCACCCTCCGCGGTCAACAGTGCAACTGACATTCCACATCTCCACTTACAAACATGCCTGGAGGCTAGAATGTCCCAGCAACACTGATTTAGTCCTTTCTTCTTTTAACGTGGTCCAATTATCTTTTAAAGCAGTGGTTCTCAACCTTCCTAATGCCGGGACCCTTTAATACAGTTCCTCCTGTTGTATGTGGGCGGATCTGCATGTGGAAGGACCCGCCTGGAGACAGAGGAGCGGTGTCTCGGTTCCTAAGACCATCGGAAATATGTGTCTTCTGATGGTCTTAGCGACCCCTGTGAAAGGGTCATTCGAGCCCCAAAGGGGTCACGACCCAGAGGTTGAGAACCGCTGTAAAGGAAGGGCCATCTGAGTTTTAAAGAAACAAATGTGCAGAGGACTAATGTAAATGTAAACTTGATCAGCTGGTCTAATCAACAGGTCTAACACCATAGTGTTACATTAAGAACCCATCTTTGGAAAGAAAGTAAATCAATTAAGGATTTTAAGAATGACCCTTTCCCCAGCAACCCTGAGGGCTGTGTCAGGCTTCAGCTCAGCTGCCTCTCCCAACAGCATAATTTACCTGATTAACCCTCATACATGTTGAAACAAGCTCAAGTTCCACTGCTGAGAGAAACAAGAACACTTCTCATCCCCCAAGACTTAACCACATGCACAGAGGGCAACCCCAGAGCATGCTGGGATAGATAGCAACAACCAGTAATCGCTCCAGTACTTCTAAGGTTATCAGCTTGATCAAGTCAGAGCTATGGTTGAGTGAGCCAAATAATTTAAACCAGCCTTCCCCATAAAAAACCTTCAGCCCGAAATCCTTCAGTGAGCCTGCTTACCATCAGACTTGTTAACGAGTGCCCCCCAGAAGCTAGGTTCAGCTTCATAGGAGGGCGAGCTGGCCTTCTACTCCAATAGCCATTCACCAAAGGTGCCACTGGCCTTCCAAAAAACGGATGGCACAATCCATTCAGCTGACAGCTTTGAAATGATGCCCACAGGCTGGCATTACTGCTTTTCTAATTCATCATCTTCCGTTTGCAAGCTTTTTGAGGAAATCATTTGTCTAGCCCAGTCAGACAGTCACTAGATATCCAAGCCAACACAACTCAGCCCTGGCTTCTGACTGGCCCCCATCTAGAGCTGGAAGTTAAGCGGCAGCATTCCTCAGTGGCTCGTCCTTGTTTACGGGTCTGGGGTAATCCTGCCTGGGAACCAGAGCTCCTGGGCCCTGCGAACAGCACTGCTCATGGACTCCAAGTCTGCACCCTGCTCTGGGGACCACTGCACCGTCAGGCCTCTGGAGAAATGCAGAATCAAACAAACAAACTGCCGAAACTTCTGATCCGTTATCCTAGTTATGCTGCTGCTCGCCTCTTTGGTTCTGCACACTTTTTTGGTTTGGTTTGGTTTTAACTTTAGTTATTTCCTTACTACTTCTTTCCGCTCTCTCCCCATGTCTACCCCTTCCCTTGGGGGCTCTGCATCAGGCCCGAATCCCATTCCGTGTCTCCCACCTCCTCCAACTCCCCATCGCTCCCACTTATATTTCTACCTCATGGTTCCCTTGAAATTTCAAAACCTGCCAAATGGCCCCCTTCCTCCACATCCTTTGCTATTCTGGTTTCCCAAATCTTCCCTTTCAGTAGGTGCTACTTGCCCCTGAAGTCTACCTCTTTGAAAACTCTCCCGAGAAAACCCTTCTTTAATTATCTCCTTCTCTGAAGAACCACGTTTAGACTTGTGATATCAGGGAGGGGTGCATTTTCATTCTAGCTGTTTCGTAACTGATTTAATTCTAACTTTAACCCTTGGAAGGTGAGAAGGGTTTTGCAAGCGCTTCACGATAAGAACAGTCAGGGCACTCATACTTCACTCGTATCAAATGGCTTTACCTGGGCTGCTTTCCACAGGACGTGGAGTGAGTACTTCCTAATCGGGGTGATAGCGTAGGCAGGCCATGGGCGGGTTTGATCTTCGGGTGTGATTACAAGCCTCCTTCTTTCTACAGCACTGAGGGACAAGCATTATCTCATTGGTTCTCACAAGGAACGAGCCACCTGGTATACTTTCATGGGTGTGAGAACTGCTTACCACCTCAGACTGGCTCGGCTTACTCGTGTGGCCCAAATCCTACTTGACACGCATAAGACTGAAGCCCTCAGAGTCCACACTGTGTCAGACCTAAGCCATTACTTACTGAAGCATCAGCAGTCTTCTCAGACACATGTTCCTGTCACAGGAAGGAAAAACACGGGGGAGAGCAAGTGGAGGCGAGAAGGAGGAGAGAAAAATCCTCTACTTCTCAGACTGGCCAAAGCTTCTATGCAGGATGGAGAGCTAGATTAAATTTCCTGCCTGTAGTCACTTGTCACCCTCATGCACAGTGCTGATTTTGTGTGATGCCACAGGGAGGGGTCGGAGATGACAGGGGAGGAGACCAGGTAGGAAAGTGCTGGCAGCTGGGGCTTGAAGGTGTGTGCCAGTTGAGATGATGAAAGTCTCCCTTCCTCAGGAGACCAGGCACATGCTCCCAGCTGGGACAGTCATCTCTGCCTCCCGCCCCCCTCCCCCCCCCCACCTCCCTCATTCCCATTATATACTTATCGAATACTCAGGATGTGTTCTCATCCCTTAGCAGATGAGCTCTTTAAAGCCAGGCTCGCCCTGGCCGGTTTGGCTCAGTGGTTGGAGCGTCAGCCTGCGGTTCAGAGAGACCTGGGTTCGGTTCCCGCTAAGGGCACGTACCTCGGTTGCAGTTTGTCCCCGGCCCTGGTTGGTCGTGCGGGTGGCAGCCACTCGATGTGTCCCTTCACATTGATGTTTCTCTCCTCTCTCTCCCTTCCACTCTACCTGAACAAAAAATGGAAAAATGTCCTCGGGTGAGGAAAAAAAAAAAAAAATTAAATTTTGTTTGTCACTACAAGTGTATTTCAACATGAGCCCATAGATAATACTATATACACAAACACAAACCCCCATACAACTTTAAAACCATACATACCACAAGGTACCCGCCTAATAACACAGGCTTTGCACAGTCTTACGGAGCCCAGATCGGCACCAGTACCCCTCAGCCATTTACTGCCCACTCAGCAGCTAGTCACTCAGGACACACGACAGCTCTAACAACTCTCCTCAAGGTTCTTAAGCCTTTTGAATAAGCTTTAAGCAGTTGTTTTTACTGTTTTAAATATCTTGGTCTGAGGCTGGGGGAGCAGTGGGCTGCAGCCCCACAGGCATTTCCTGAAAAAGAATGGGTTCTGACCCCCAGAACACGCTGGGCCTGAGGTACTGGGGGCAATGAGGCTGTGGGATGCGCATCTGTCCTGCAACGGCATGCCCGGCGTCTGAATGCAGACTCCCTCCCCGCCCACACACCTGCACACCTTCCCGGCCAGCACCCTCAATGGCCAATTTTCCTGAATGATGCTCCTAAAGGAATGAAAACAAGTGAGCTCACTGTTTAATTGCCTCTCACTTGGTCTACCACTTTCAAAGCCAGGGATCTAGTAGGCTCTATTTGCAGAGTTCAAGTTGATATCACAATGTTCATCTCCTACTCTGCTCAGGTACATGCAGGAGAGGGTGAAATAGGACATCTCCGCATGTTCAACCATTCCATTAAATTTCCCCCAAAATGTAGTGAGTGGCATCTATGTAAACAGATCAGTCCTGCTTGAAGCTCTCATGCAAGGACCCAGGATGTCAAAACCTACATTTGCAAAATTTCTTGTTTGCCAAACAGGCACCAGGGGGGTTAGAAAGGGCCTGGATATCACCAATCTGGACCTCAGCTCCTCTCCTCCAAAGTGAAGAGGTTAGATGAAGGGCCTATCAAGTTGCTTCTAACTCTAAATCATGGTGATTCTACTTGCATTGTTACAGAGAGTCAAAAAGTCTTCTCGCTCCAGATCTTCCTTAAATATTACAGGTACACATAACAATCTGATTTTTTAAATAATTCAGTTGACACTACACGTGAGGCACACTCCACTAAACGGAGAGAGGTATACACCACGCCGTTTCCACAGCTTCCAAAGTGGTTAGCATCTTTCTCACACAGACGGAAGTGTTAACAGGCTGCAGCAAACCCAGCGACCCTGCATTATTCTGAAATGAACTCACCAGGTCCTGGGAGTTTCTGGCCCTACTTGCTTTCTCTTTCACTCATCCACTTCTTGGCTACTTCTGGGATTACCAACAGCCAGGAGCAGGGAATTCAATCATCCACGTTATCCTCATTGTCCCATGGCACCATAATTAGGGGACAAGAAAGGTGTGCTATTCAGTCTGATGAAACTGTCAGAAGTGAGGAAGAAAAGGCCCAAATATACATAAGCTTCCAGAGCTGGGGACATCAGGCAATACCAGGTTATCAGTGACATCCACTATAGAGGGGACGGCAGGGCACAGATCACTAACTGGATTGTCCACTTTTAGCCCTCGTCAGCACACCTCACTCCATGGCTGACTACTAAAAGGAGACATCATCACATCAGAGTCTGGAGTCCCTGAGCAAAGGCTATACCTTCTACAGAATACGTGACATCAAGGTCAGCAGCACCAAATGTCCTGCCTTGCATCAGAGCCGAACCACTGCGTGCTTGCCTCTCCATTCCCTCTGCGAAGCAAGGGCTGGGGCAGGGGAGAAGACTACAGAAACGCTTCGCAATGACTGCTCCTACGCAAGCTATTGTATGTGCGGTTAAAACTCCGAGGACACTGCACGGTGTGGCAGCTTCTATAATACCACTGGGCTTTCTGATGATTGAAGAGGATATTAATAAGTCACCACCACGGAACAACTGAACTTTTCAATGATAAATATTCTGCCCGGTATTGGTCCCATTCTTTCTCGGGGAAGTCTCTACTTTTTGTCTTCCCGAAGAGCCGTAACCCCTAGCAGGTTGGGCGATGCTGACCATGAGATCCTTGGAGGTTCTGCACGCCAGCCTGTTGGCACAATGCGCTGGCGGACAGCCTGCAGGCCGACCTCTTTCCTGGCACTTGACTGACCTTAGTCACTTGACTGCCAAGCTGACTGATCAAAAAGGGCTTCCTGAAAACCCATGAGGGAACTAGGGACCAGTTACGGCAGACTGTGGTGAGATGGACTCCAGGTAACCTGGAGCCCAGGGAAACTTCTGCGGAAGCACTGAGAACAGGTTAGGAGCCTGTTAAATAATCTTGAAACTGAGTGGGGCTGTAATTGCGAGCACAAATGCCTGCTCATATTCCCCCAAGTTAATGTATTATCAGGAGATATGATGAATAAACTGAGAGGAACACAACTGTGCTGAGAATCACACACTTGTATGTATACACACCTTGCAGATTTTAAAGAAACTTGAAACTCTGTGGATGCTACAAAGTCACCCAGTTGTGATAACATAACACACACATTAACTGAACCTTGTTTCACATGAGTGACCAGGGAAGTCCACACTCTGTTCCAGTCTGGCCACTGCCACAGAAAGTGAGGTCCCTCTCTTGTCCCACAGGTCCTAGTGTCTCTCTCTGCAGCAGGCTCCAGACACCTCCTACCCAGTCTTGCAGGGCTCCTTGGTCTGCTGCGTCGGGGTAGAAGGATGCACTCAAGAATCCCTGCCTTTGCCCTGAACAGCTTTAAAAGAGGCAGGGCCTGGGCTCTACTCTTTTGCCTCCAAGACACTGGGTCTCCCCACTCCTGGCTTCTCAGACTGGGGTACAAGCAGACACAGGAGCACAGAGAGCATCCTCCTGAGTGCCAAGCTTACCTGGGACGGGGAGGGCAGCTCTTGGATATCATAGAAGCACTGTGTCAGGGTTGACATCTCGGCCTCTGTGGTCAGCCAGCCTTCGTTCTAATCCTGATTCCACCTTTGATAGCTCTGTAGTTTCACAGAGGCCTTGTTTTTAACTTCTCTGAACCTCAGTTTTCTTAATTATTATGTCTAATGAAAACAACGGGTTATTGTGTAAGTATTAAGTGAGATAGTATACACAATCAGACCTTTAACACCATGTCTGGCACGTGGAAGAGCTCAATGCATTTTAGTTTCAATACTATTTCTTGGGTCTTCAAGACGATTGGAGATGCCAGCAAGCCACTCTGGGCCCTGCCCCCGGTGACGAAAGACACATGCTTGTTTTGCCTCTGTCATTAAAAAGACTTTAGTGGAGAACTTAAGACACCCTAAATAGGTTTTTCTTCTAGGTTTGAAAGGTACTAGTCCTATAAAGTGAGGTTAGACAACTTCTAACTCTCAAAAGTTTCATCATTTCATATAACCTCATTTTAAATAAATTAATTTGATAATGGTTTATCAGGCCCGCCTATATGAGAGGCCCTAGGTCAAGCACTGAGGATTCAGAAAACAAACAAAAATGTACAAATCTTCCCATGAAAAAGTTCATAATGAAGTGAGGCAAAGAAAAAGAAAACGAATAAGCCTAATAAATGAAAACATGGTGCAACTGAGGGAAGTGTAGGGTGTTATGGGAACGCTCTGAAAGAGCATCTATTCCAAACAGGGTCCAGGTGGCAGTAGGCGCCCCTGGGGAGAGGCAAGAGAGCGGTCCCAACAAAAGAAGCTGCATTTGTTCAGGGAACAAGGACGTAAATAAAAGGGCAACACGAAGGGTTGGACGGCGCAGTCCAGTGGTGTGGCAGATATCTGTTGTTGTTTTGGTGATCCACCTAGGACACCCATCCTATTTCTGGAGAAACCCACGTTCTGCAAGTGGTGGTAGGAGTCAGGCCCCTCTCCCACTACCAAAGCTGGAACCAGAAGTTCCCTCTTCCATGGGCAGCAAGGGGTAGGTATTCAATCTAGCACTGATGAGTCAGATGGTTTATTTCTGAGATTTTTGAAATGTTGATGCCAACCCAATATTCGGCTACATCTGGAGTGCTAGTAGTGACAGAAATGAAAGATACAGAGGAGGGGAAGGCCATGGTGAGTTCCTTCCCAGGCAGTTCTTGGGTATGTCCTGGCAGCATCTTCTGATGCATTTTCGGAGGATGTGTGAAGGACCTTTCTGTGGATGTGTGAACAACCCAATATATTCTCAATAAATTTCTTTTGCGTATGACAGCAGGAACCAATTGCCACTTCTCATTACCACAAACCCAGCTGACAAGGGTTGTTACCAGAACCATCAGGGTACAAATGCTGAGGGCTCGAACCAAGGCAGATGGGGGGATACACCAAACGGATAATGAGGAGGATGAGTGGCAGGTAGAAGTTGAGGATGAAGGAAAGGACAGGGTCAAGGACAACCTGCAGATTTGTAGTCTGGGAGCCAAAGAGAGTGATGATCAGTGAAAATACAAAAGGAGGGTCAGATCTGTGAAGAGTAGAAAATGCTGGACTCAGTTTATACATTTTGAATTCGAGGTCCCTATATGACATTCAAAGCATCGGGTTTGCCAGGCTGCTCTGAGAGAAGCCCAGGCTGGAGGGTGA